GGGGGGGACCCGCGGGGCGAGCGGCGCCCGCGCGTCCGCGTCCGCTCCTGCTGCGTCTGCCTGCGTGCCTGCGCGTGCAAAAATCTGTCCCACTTCTCGCCACCCGAGAGTTTGGCTTTTGCTTTTTCTAAATCCAGTGGAAACGGTATTTGCCTTGCCAACTGCTTTGGTTTGTTTTTTTCTCCCCCCTGGGTGTCACTTGTCAAAAGGGTGGGGGGAAATATGCTGTGCGAGGTGACAATTCAATTTATGGTCCCCCCCCGCCCCTTGGAGATTTTGTTTTATAATAGTACCTAACGATGCCTCTCTCCTTCCCTTTTCCTTCCTTCCCTTTTCCTTCCTTCCTTCCCTCCTGCTTTTCATCCTTCCCTTTTCCTTCCTTCCTTCCTTCCTTCCTTCCTTCCTTCCTTCCCTCCTTCCTTCCTTCTTTCTTTCCTTCTTCCTTCTTTCCTCCTTCCTTCCTTCCTTCTCTCGCTCGCTCCCCTCTCCTCTTTCTCTCCCTCCCCCCCTTCCCCTCTCCCTCTCACTCCACAACTGCAGGTGAATTTTGCAAGCGCTGCTGCAATAGGAGAAGCTCGAGGTGAGTATGATTTTCCATCTTTTCATTGCGCTGTAGCCTGGGAGAGCCCTGCCCGCCCTTCGCTCCCCAGAAAGTGAAGTTCGTTCTTTCTCCTGCCAGCTGTTTGCGTGACTACTTCTTCACCAGGCGCCTTCCCCGCGGGGACAATAAACCCGAGGGGCTGATTTTTGAGGAGGCGGCTGTCGGGCTGGTAACTGTATATTAACCCCGCAGCTTTTGTTTTAGCATTAACCACCCGGGTTTGACGTCACCTTCGCTGGTAACGGGGAGGAGGTAGCACTTCGGTGGGAAATAACGCCGACTCCTTTCCCCAAGGCTCTCCCCTGCTTCTCACGAGGAATCTCCATCCTCCTCGGCACTTTTTAAAGTTCTTTGTTAGACGTGTCCGTAACTCCTTCCCCGTGGCGGGGACCGGGGGCCGATGGCTGGCGGCTGAGGACCCCGTCTCCGCC